AAATGAAGTCCAGGAGAACTGGTCTAATGCCACAGCTACTTGTTCTAAAATGAGAGGACATCTTGTGACTCTTCAAAATGAAGCGGAGTGGAAGGCACTTGCCGAGCATCTGAGCAGCGACAAAAACTATTGGGTAGACATAAACGACAAAGAAGATGAAGGAGTTTTTGTATCTGACTTAACCAAAAAAGAAGCAAGCTTCCTAAAGTGGTGTGAGGGCGAACCTAATAATGGGCCTGATACATATTATAATGAAGATTGTGTAGAATTGCGAGGAGATTCTGATTTTTACATGAACGACGCTCGTTGCATAAATCAGGCCAATTTTATTTGCAAATCATATTAATATTAATAAATAATATAAAACTAAATTGATTCAATAAACAGACGCTTTTAAATTACCTAACCAATTATTTTTGAACACATTTTAATTGATTTTTTGTATTTTGAGTTTAACATTACAATTAATAAATACGTTTTGTAAATTTTTTTATACCAATTTTATGTGTGATGCCCTGATTCTCCTTTACAAAATGGTGGCCGCATTCAGCAGAACAACATGATACCTGATCACTGAGGGATTTCTTACGATAGTTGTGCTGAACGCACGTGATTACTAATCATGATGCAAGAATTTTGCATCAGTGATCAGGTATCAGGTAGCGTAAAAATAGTACGCTGCCTTTTCTTGATACACGATACATGGCTTCTGGCATGTATAGATAGTCGAAATATCGAAACTTATTAACATAAAAATTAAATAAATCCATCAATACGGTGGAATTCTTTGAATTTGTTCAGCCATTTTGAATTTTTATGCATCCACGATAGCTGTGAGCAGTGCTGAAGTTGCACGAGCACGAAAAATACCCTTTCTAAAATTGCACGCGCACTTTTTGATGTCTTTTACTTTTACGTCAGCGAAATGTATCATGAGCGTTCAGCAGAACAAACTTGATCACTGATTACTGATCCATCAGTGATCATGCTGAACGCGTCCAACATTTTTCTTCCTTTCTTCACTTGTCATCTTTTTTGTTTCACTCGAATAAAAGAGTCAAGTAAAAGTTTATTTTATGCCTATTAACAGTTGGACGTAGCCTAGCTTGTAGAGCTTCTGTCTCCGTACCAAAAGGACCGAGTTCGATCCCCGACCCGTATTGTTTTTTTTTTTGTGTGACTCACACTAAAATAAAGATTCTATATTATAATATTGAAGATTAACTGTCACTTTTGCGTTCGTTATGGTCAAAGAAATGCCGACTATTATTTTTCAGTTGTATTTGTCTCCCAGGGACTTGAATTTTATCATCGACTCCATCCCTTGTTAAAAATCTCGGGAAAGTGATAATCAGGAAAGTGATTGAGATACGTTTTGAAACACTGTCAAATTATAAAATTAAGTCTACGGCATTTAGATGATTCTGAAATTTGCGTAATAAACTTTAAAGCCGTTGCACACCGCATAAAACGAATTATTTTTACTTTTTCTTTCTTTTATGGATTAAGGATAACAAAAGGCAATATAGCATTGCCTTAAAAATTGCATACAAAAAAAGTCGACCCTAATGTACATATTTTCTAACTCTTTTAAAGAGATAACTTTTTAAAAGAGTTTTATACATAAGGTGATCGGCTTTTGCGTCACTTAAGTAAGCTCCGGAGTTCGTGTTAATTTGGCAGTACCGAAAAGCTAGCATCATTTATTTCAATCATTTATCAAAACATTCACGCTAAAAAGAGAAACTGAAGAAATATCGAAGTATCAGCTTTCAACACGACCGGCTAATGAGCCAAATTCTTGTTGTTGTTCCGCGAAATCCAATGAGTCAAAATGTATCTTGGAGGATGGCGGCCAGACAAGTTGACAGGCCCAACCTCAAAAAGCACGAGTAAAGGGGACGGGGGCAATGCGGCCAAATTAAGTGCGCAGATTCATTAATTTACATTAAAATGCAATTAGCGGTGAAATAAGTGGCAGGAAAAATACTGAAACCGCAAAATATGCGAGCTGCCATAAAGAAAGGAATGAAAACACAAAAAAAACACAATTGAAATGCAATTTTAAATTATTTATTTTATTACCTTACTTTCAACAGAAAAATATGCATAATTTTTGTATTGGGCTTTAAGAGAGTTAATAGCTACGAACAGCATTGGTTTGGCACTTAGAAAACAAATAAGATTTATTTATATTCGGATTTCATTAGGGAAACTTTCTGCCTGAGGTATAACGCGAACAAAGCCTCCTTTCTAAAAATAAAAGCGTTTATAATTCTCAAAAACGAGAAAAATTTCCGTAGTTTAAATACAAAATCTGAGTGCTCTTTTAAAAGGTAACCATTTATTAAAATCCATTAAATTTCAGATTCACAATTGATAAGCATCTTTAGGGTTTTACAACATTTTATTTTTTATTTTAGAAATTTAGATAAAATTTATAATTTATATTTAATGTAAATTCGATTGCGGGTGAATTAGTCTTTCGACTCTAAGCCTAAAAAATCTATTTTTAATAAAAATATTAAAGTCGCGAAAAAGATGTTCTCTTCGTCGTAATTCCATTTAAGCAAGGGTATTGGAAAGAAAATTTCGTGCTTGTTAACTATTTCCTCTAAGAAAATGGTTGCCTTGTTGTAGGTGCTGGCCACCCTCGGATAAGTATGAACAAGGCATTATTCTTTCCCTCTTATTTTTTCTAGCTTGTTAACAAATTTTATGCATTTCTTAACTTTCGGAGGCGAGTTAACGAGTCCCGTGCTCTGGAATTCAACTTGCTTATTATTATTTGCGGCGATTCTTTGGCTTGGAATTCTCCTGGGGGAACATGAACGCATGTTTGTGGAGGGGGCGGGAGGTGTGGCCTGCATTGTGGTTATCATACTTTAACAAGTTTTCAAAGAGCATGAAATTTCCTTTGGTCGAGTCCCCCGGTCTAGGCTAAAATGCAACTTGGGCGCAAAAATGCAGAGTGAAGAATGCAAAATGCTGAAATTGCTGCGTGCAGCAAAACTTTTTATCGTGGCGGCCTGGAAAAAATCTCATGCAAAATACGGCATTAAAAGCGACCCACCAAATGGGAAGAATGGTGATCGGAAAGCTGCTTCTCAGCTCTGCAGGTGCATTGTCCAACTGCGGTCGCATTTTGTTAATTTCTCAGACCTGGCCAAAGGACCACAGAAAAGCCAAGAAAGTCGCTTGTTGTGGGTGCCGGTGCCCGTGCCGGTGCTGGCATAGAAAACGAAAATGAATTCATAATTAGATGACACCATCCGTGCGTAAATAATAATTTTCGCCAGCTTTTCCTTGTGCTCGCAAGCTTACTCGCTCCCTCTGCTAGTTAGTTAAAACGCGCGAATGAGTTTTCTTGAGTTTTCCCTCTGCTTTTCCATTGTCAGCGAAAAATTCAGCTTGTGCCGAAGTTTTATATTTAGCCAGCCGGCGGCTCTGTGGGTTGAGGTTGAGCAAGTTTTTATCCAATCGCTGCTCCAGAGTACCCTGCAAAATATTCTTTAGCTCGGATATATCCGAATAAACCAGGTCTTACACTTATTTAACTAAATGACGATTTGGAAAGATTGGAAAACATTTCTATAAGCCCATGGGCTACAGTTATTTAATACTACATTTTTTTTTGTTTTGTTTTATTAAAGTTCTTAACTTAATAAATTAATTAATTTAAGTTCATGTACATTTCCGGGTTGTTCTACTTCTGTCCTATTTATTTCGGCCTTCGTCTATTATAAGTGCATAATTTGTTAATTAATAAAAAAAACTTAAAAGATGCTTAGTTTCGAACCCTGCCATCCATAGGCAGGGAGCTCGAAGGTCGCCAGAGGTGGGATATCAAGCCTGCTCTCATTCTGCATTCGGCCAAGTTAGCTCTGGTATTGGTATCAACTCGACGGCATCTTCTTCGCTCCTAGTTTGGCTGCTCATCTCATCTCTCCTCGGAGCCCAGCTCTATTTTGCTCCGTTCTGTTCCGTTTGTTTCTTTATCGCGCATTTGCCAAGTGGCAAAGTTTTCTCGTTATAAGTTTTGTAGCCTTTGTGTGTCTCTCGCGCAGCTCGAAGCTTCTTGCTTTTCGCCGAGCCGAACGCGATGCGAGGAAACTTTCGATATTCCTGGAAAAGTTTATGGCCCAGCGTCGAACCAGTCGCGAATTGCCAAAAAAAAACACCCAAATAATGGTGGAGGGATTTCCCCCGACTTACCAACCCAATTGTGAGTTGGCTAACAAAAAATTTTATTATTTTATTGTTGTTTGGCTGACGCATAACTTTATGCCAAACACTTCGCTCACTGTGGGATTCGCATTATCCCAACGAAAGTTTCTCGAATCGAGGAAATGGAAGTCTTCGGTTCGTCCATAACTTTTGGCTCCATTTGCCGCCGTATTTTGCCAAAGTCAGAGCCAGACTGCAGGACAGATAAGGCAAACTATTTCCATATTCATATGCAACTGGCAAGTGTACTTTAAATTCTTGCAAATGAGCAGCTCGGCTCAATGCAGTTGAGCAAATAGTCATTTCGTATTTTGAATGCCAAAAGTTGTCTGTTGTCTTATATAACAAGACAGGAAGGTAGCTTCGGAAAGATTGATAAAAAATTGGCATTTAAAAATTCGTATTATTTTTGAATGCATTTTCCGATCCTATGGCAGCTATTTAATTTAGTTGTTTATTTTCTATAATATTTGATTCGTAATTCTAAAAATTTAAATTATGCTGAATATGTCAAAAATAAAAAAGTTCTAAGTTTCTTTATTTTTTATTTTAAAAGTGAAAGGCAAATTTTCGTATAAATGGCCGGACAATATTTAAACTATTTATACCTTTTATGTTTTTTATAAGACGTTCTAAAAGATCTGCTAAAAAGTAGTTTTTGTTCTGTTGCCTCCTTTCAGCAATTCGAAAAAAATCAATAGGTCTACTAAACTGTTGAAATCGTATAGAATTTATATTGATGCACAGGAGAAACCCAGTTCAAAAAGCGATTCTTAATTTAATCATTTAAACTTTATATTCGGTGGAATATCTTCTAATTAAATTACAAATCAGACTTTTCGCAAATAAAATTAGCCCGATTTGAGCACAGAGCGTCATTCATATAGAATTTGGAATCTCCTCGCAATTCCACACAATCTTCAAAATTAATATCATCATCATCACCTCCATTATTAGGTTCGCCCTCACGCCACTTTAAGAAACTTGCTTTCTTTTCGGTAAAGTCAGATATAAATTCATTTTCATCATCTTTGTCGTTAATGTCCACCCAATAGTTTTTGTCGCTGCTCAGATGCTCTGCAAGTGCCTTCCACTCCTTTTCATTTTGAAGAGTCACAAGATGTCCTTCCATCTCCGAACAAACATCCTTGGCATCGAACCAGTCCTTCTGAACGTCATTTTCAATATAATAATATTTTTCACCAATCTTCTGAAATTTTTCGGATCGCTTGCTGCTGGAACTTTCCTTTTCTATCGGTGCTAACTTTCCAATTATTTCGTCGAATTTTAAAGTAAGTTTACCCAGTTGCTCAGCCAACTCTTTTTTTAATCCATCCTCCAATTTGTCGAATTTATCACCAATAATTTTTTCGTTATCAACATGCTCTTGCTCCAGAGAAGGAGATGAATCCACAGGGTTAGATTCCGAGATTCTCCGTTGGATGGGCAAGTGGATTTCCAATCTCTGAATTCTCTCTTCTAAGGCATCGTTATCAGCAAATTGCCGGGCTTCCAGAGTCACGAGTCTTCGCTCTAGGTCATTCGTGTACTGCTATAAATAGGTACGACAAAATTAATACTTTTGATCATCAAGTTGAGCAAACTAGCTTACCAATCCCCTCCCAAAAGTAATTTGAACAAGAACTCCGAAAAGGAACAATTTAAAAAATTCACTCATTGTGTTGGTTGAACTTTTACGTAGCTTTTAAAAGAAGACACTGAACATTTTTTTCGCTATCCCGCCTTTTTTATAGGCATCGGATTTGTTTAATCAATGCCTAATCAAGGTTGTTTATATACATTGTATAAGTAAATTATACATAAGAGGTTCCAAATTCTAAAAAATCTTGCAAACGGTATTTTATTAGGCTGCCTTCGTCATCATTTCTAATCAACACAATAAGTTAATAGGTCACCAAAAATGTTTTATATTTGTAAATGAAATCAAGAACTTAAAGATGCTTCTAAGAATTAATCTATTTTCCAAGAACTTGGGAATGATGTTAATAATATAAATATAATAATATAGATGCCATTATGTTGAATAAACAGGTCCAGTCAATCACTAATAGAAAAGAAGATTCCAAAGTAAAACAAAAGCGAACGCTATAGTCGGGTTGGTGTCCCGACTATCTAATACCCGTCACTCGAATAAAGGGAGTGCGAGTGAATATAAATTTCAAATTTTTATTTCAAATTTAGTAATACATATGAGCTGACTACTAGATACTTTCCTCAAAAAAAGCTGTATTTTTCATTCGCGTTGGGGGGGGGGGTCAAACGTCATTTTAGACCATAAGTATGTTCACCAATATGGCTTAGAATCCTTTAAAGGTTACGTTCCCCCTAGACGATTCATTACTTTTTTCGGCCCCATACAAATCGAACCGCCCTATTGTCAGTGCTTCTGAGTGTCCAGCCATATGTTTGTAATTGCAAAATAAATCGGCGATAAATAATAAACAATAATTAAGAACTTATTATTGGCAAAGGGGTGTTGTGGGGAATGAGAGTTGGGTGTGAGAGATTTATGCAGAAACTAATTTTCAAGGTCATTAGAAGGCTCACCGAAATGGGAGAGCCACTGAAACTATATAAGACATTCTAAAAGATCTGCTAAAAAAGGAATCTCAAATAATGATTTTTTACGGTCCTTGCTGCTAACAAATAGTTTTTATTGAGTTGCCTCTTATCAACAATTCAAAAAAATTCAAATTCAGTCTACCAAAATGTCGAAATTGTGTAAAATTTATATTCATGGACATAAGAAACCCATCCCAGTTCAAAAAGCGCTTCTTAATTTCATCTTTTAAACTTTATATTCGGTGGAATATCTTCTAATTATTACTTTAAATTACAAATCAAATGCTTCGCAAATAAAATTAGCCCGATTTGAGCACTGAGCGTCATTCATATAAAATTTAGAATCTCCTCGCAATTCCACACAATCTTCAATAACAGAAACATCATCAGAATCATCAGAATCATCATCGTCATCATCGTCATCATCATCATCGTCATCGCCTCCATTATTAGGTTCGCCCTCACGCCACTTTAAGAAGCTTGCTTCTTTCTCGGTTAAGTCAGATACAAATTTTTTTTCTTGTTCCTTGTCATTAATATCCACCCAATAGTTTCTGTCGGTTTTCAGGTTCTCGGCAAGTGCCTTCCACTCCGCTTCATTTTGAAGAGACACCAGATGTCCATTAACGTAAGAACAAATAGTCTTGGCAGAGTCCCAGTCCACCTGAGCGTCATTTTCGATAATATAATACTTTTCACCAATCTTCTTAAATTTGTTTCCAGTCTTGCCGAATGCCACATTATTTTCTATCGAGGGAAACTTATCTACAATGCCGTCGAATTTCGAAGTGAGGTTTCTCAGTTGATCCGCCAACTCTTTCTTTAAGCCATTTTTCAATTTGTCGAGTCTGTCACCAACCATTTTTTCGATATCAACATTCTCCGCATTGTCCAGAGAAAGATGCGAGTTCACAGGGTTGGATTGAGTAATTTCAATTCTACGTTGGATGGGCAAGTGGTTCTCTAATCTTTGAATTCGCTCTTCAAAGGCATCATTATCAGCAATTTGCCGGGCTTCCAGATTCACGAGTCTTCGCTCTAGGTCATTGGAAGACTGAAATTAAATCGAAAGAATTTAAACTTTTAGTCAGCAAGATGACAAAACTAGCTTACCAATCCTATTCCAAGGGTTATTTGGACAAAAACTCCTAAAAGGAATATTTTTAACAATGCTCGCATATTGAAAAAGAATTAAGACTTTTACGAAGCAAGTAAGAGTAGACACTGAGTAAATTGAACCCCACTCTCCGTATTATATAGGCATCTTCTCATTTGTCTAATCAATGCCTAATCAAGCTGTATATACATTGTACACTCAGAAACAAAACCAAGCACATTGTGCTTGTTTCAAGCCCAAATGGTCTTGAAAGGTCGACAGGTACGAAATGGGCTTGTTTTTTCACGTTTTATTCTTAAACCGACATTCTTAATTTGAGAACATTTTCGGGCGTAATTAAGTATGAAATGTTCTTGAACCCAGAATTAATTATACTTAAATTAAGTATAAATTCTACTCAAATAATGTAAAAAATAAAAAAACAATTTTAAAAATTTAATGAAAATTGCTTTAGAGTGAAGGGTTAATATTATTATTTGTACAAATTTAATCCGATTTACTTGTAAATGAGGTATAAGCTATGCTCAAATGAAGTATGAAATATTCTTAAACTAATAGTATAAATCATTGTGTTGTTTTATTAGTTAACAATACTTATTTTGTATAATCTTAAACTTAATTACTCATAAATGTATAAAGATTTGTAGATAAAAATGTGTTTTATACTTACGAAACATTTTTCTTAAAATCATATACCTCTCCCAGGATTCGATCCCGCAACCTCACGCACCACAGTCGGACGTTCTAACAGCTTGGCCACGCTCGCTCTTACGCGGCGATGACCAAAAAACCTACATAAGTACTTTTATTTGCATACTTAATTTAAGTACAACGTGTACTTGTGTTGAGAATTTAATTCTTAGTTTTAAATAATATAAAACAAAAACACCTCTTAACAAGTTAAAAATGGAGTGACACAAAATCCGTAATTTGCTATTTTCTCCCCGATTTAAACATAAAATCGGCTTGTTTTGAGAATTTATTTCTTAGCTATGAATTTAAATGTTTTTCAAATCGAATCGTATTTTGGCATATATGATGCACGTTTTTCACAGTATTTAATAACAATTATTAATTTCAAAATTTTCTCCGATTTAACAAAATTTGCTTGTTTTGAGGATCTAACTCTTAATTTTTAATAATATTGAACTACTTGTGTTTTATAAACATATGTACCTACATTATACAGTTTTTGTGAACTAATCTTTTTTAGTCTAGTGCCAATTCTATTTTACTTTAATCAATATTGGAACTCGTTAACTAAATTAATTAGTACATTTTAACATTGGCTTAAGCACAAATTGTACTTGTCAAAATGCTTATTATTTTTTAATTTTAATACTACTGATGAGAATAATTCATTCTTATTTACAGAATACTAAAACCTAATTTTCTGAAATTAAGTACTTTTAGTAATCACATTAAGAATGTTTGTGCTTACCATGAAAAATTATTTTTTTAGAATAAATTATACTTGGGTTTAGGATAAATCGTTCTTGTTTAGTCCTGTTTATTGAATTATTATGTTCTGGAATCAAGAACATTTGCGGATAATTTGGGTTTTAAGAATAATTTATTCTTAATTCAAGAACGCCCAACATTCTCATTCTTAAAACAAGCCCAAAAAATACTATCCGAAATCAAGTATAAACCGCGCTCAAATTTAGGATGCGTTTTTTTCTGAGTGTACATAAGGTTCCGAATTTCAAATAATCTGCAAAAAGTATTGTTTTGTTTGGTTGCCATTGTCGTCATCTCTTATCAACATGTTACATAAATACTTCCACAATGTTGGAACTCAAATCAACAACTTTTGGGCGCTGATAAAAATCAATATATATATTGTTGGTGTAAATCTTTTAGAAATTAACTAAAAATTAATCTCAGAAGAAGTAAAAAAATAAAACATTTTTTTAACATTGTTTTGTTATTATTTTAACATTAAATTCTTGATCTTTCCTTCTTCTTTAAAGTTTTTCTTTGTTAAATATTAGTTTTAACAAGAGAGAACGCTATAGTCGAGTGGTACTCCGCTGAAATAAACTTGCGCAGCGTAGAAAACCCAAGAATATGTGTGGGTAATCCCAACTTTCTAGCTTTTTTAGTTTCCGAGATCTCAGCGTTCATACAGACGGACAGACAGACGGATAGACAGACAGATAGACAGACGGATACACAGACAAACATGGCTAGATCGACTCGGCTAGTGACCCTGATTCTTCCTTCTAGCTGTTATATACTTTTACTTTACACTCAAAATATTAATTGCCCCTATATTTTAAAAAATCGCCAATGGACTTGCTTCGCTTTCTACTGGTAAAGAAAATTTTCTATAAAATAATCAAAATTTATTAAATTTAAGAAGTTTTCCAGAAATATAGAAAAAATCGGCAGTATGGATTTGCTTCCATAGGCAATTTGCTAAAAAAAAATTTTAAGTGTATAGAAATTCATCTACATTGTCTCCTTCACAGCACAGTAGTCAAAATATGAAATATTTGCTAAAAAGTCCGAACATCTATTTTTGGTTTAAACTTTTTAGAACTCATCACACAAGTACTGTGGCCATCCGAGAAAAAATATTTTTATACCCGTTACTCGTAGAGTAAAGGGGTATATTAGATTCGTGCAAAAGTATGTAACACCTAGAAGGAAGCGTTTCCGACCCCATAAAGTATATATATTCTTGATCAGGGGCACTAGCCTAGTCGATCTAGCCATGTCCGTCTGTCCGTCTGTATGAACGCTGAGATCTCGGAAACTACAAAAGCTACGTAGCGCAAGTTTATTTTAGCCGAGCGCCACGCCCCCTCTAACGCCCACAATCGCCCACTAACGATTTTAAAATGGGTCCTGCGCCCACATCTCTAAAGATTTCCGAGAAGTATAAATGCCATTTTGTTGTGTATATTTATACATTGTTCAAATCGGACCATTCATTAAAAAGTTATACGCAATCAAAATTTATATATCTATCTCCCTCGCACTCCCTTTAGCTGAGTTACGATTACACTATGCAGCATCAAAAATTTACCTCGATGGATGCTATATTTTTGGATTCGTTACGAATTCCCAAGTTAAACTGCGTTTTCAAAAAAGTTCCCCGACGCAAGGATTCTTCGCAAAAGGACCTCAAAGTTCGAAAAATGCTGAAATTGGCCAACTTTGCGGAGCTCTCAGAGGCAAATGGATGCATGGTTTGATTCAATGTTAAAGTTTTTTAAAAGATACACCCTTTATCTTTCAAACCCCATACTTAAAATAATTTTAGGATTTTTTTTATGGCAGAAATAAATTCCAGAAAACATAGTCAAAAAACTTAAAAACATACAACTGCGGTCAAAATAGTAGTAGTGTGGCCGCCTTGTGTTTTTAAAAGTTTGATGTTGTAACTTTTTTTTATCCAATTAGTCTAATAGTAAAATTATAATCAATACAATATTACCAGGAAGAGATCCATTACAACATCAAACTTTGTTTGTAAATTTGTCGAGGTAAATTTAAAAAACAGTAAAAATGCTGCACAGTGTTATTACACTCATAAAAAAAAATCGAAGAATTTCCTTAAAATCTAGAAAATTCTTTCTTGAATTTTTGCCAAAGGCGACCTCACCTTTGTTTCAAGAAATGGTTTTTTTGAAAGGCACCATTAAAACAAGAAAAATATTTCTTGTTTTAAGAAATTAAATTTCTTAAAACAAGAAAGGGTTTTTTAGAAAGCCACCATAAAAACAAGAAAAAATATTTCTTAAAACAAGAAAGGCGATTCTTGTTTCAAAGGTGGTTTGTTTCTTGTTTCAAGAAATTAAATTTCTTAAAACAAGAAAGGGTTTTTTAGAAAGGCACCTTTTAAACAAGAAAAATTCTTTCTTGTTTAAATTTCCTTTCAAGAAATTTTATTTCTTGATTTAAGAAATAATATTTCTTGAAAGGAAGTTTTATATTAACACTGAAACCCTAAAAATAAAATGTAACTTGGTTTTTTCTTTTGCATATTATATTTATTTACATTTAAAACATTTAACACTTAACATTTAAACATTTTTAAATAACACATTTTTGACTCAAGAAAACATTATTATTACCCAAGGTCTGTTGAACTTCATATGACCCAAGGTGATCCATTTTCTTCGCCTTTCCTCATCTATAAAAAAAAGAGTTATTGGGATATCAATGATTTGTTTTTAGATGAACAACTTTTTTGAAATAATGTAATGTTAATAATAGCCAAAATACAAACACGTTGGACAGACGACCGAGGGAGAGGAGCAAGACAGGTAGAAAATGAAGGGTTGAAAATCGAATTTCAGAGAGAGAGAGGCACGGGAGAGACACGTACATACATACATATATATTTACATACAGTCCTTTGCGCGAAGGGAGACCGAATGTAAGCAGGGCAGATCGTGTCAGTTTTAAGAAGGTGAAGAGAGAAACGTCGCGACGCGTAGGTCAAGCGAGCGAGAGAGACGAGCAGAATATGAAAGGGTTGAAAATCGGGTTTCAGATCGGGTGAGCCGCGTACATGCATAGATATTTACATGCATACATAAGTATGTCAAACAAATACAACATATTTTTCTTACCTTAGAAGGTTTTAAAACAAAATTACAGCTTCTACAAACAAATTATTTGGCTGATGCAACTGCAGGTATTTTCACTCTGAAAAATAAATAAAATGCGAGTAATAAGATAAAGTTATTATAGAACTGTACACCCACAAATTTATGTACAAATGTATGTATGTACGTAGCTCTTAGCTAAAAAACAATTCACCTAAATTGGTATACGCTTGGTAAAGAGATTTGAAATGTATCCTTTAATTACATACATACAATTGTACGCCCGCTATACAAAAAATTATATACATATTTACATACCTTTGAATATTCGGAAAAAGGCTTCACCTCTTATCCGCTTGAAAATCACGTCCATCACTCACGAATTTTTTTCACAACTGACGCTCGGGGGATCAGAGAAGTCGGTAGCCGGGTAGGCCCTTCGTCCCACTTCGTTTTTCTTGTCGTTAACATTCGGCAGCCGAAGGAAGTCAATGGCTACTTTCCTATATTCTAGGGTCATTTCATTCATATATTCAAAGGTGATTTTGTCATTAAATACGTACAAAAATGTTTTGGCTGCGACGGCAAAACAAACATATGAGATTTTCATTTTTCTATTTTTAAGAAAAATTCTTTCTTGAATTTTTTCCATCAAGAAAGGTTTTCTGTATTCAAAGGACAATTTTCTAATAACAAGAAATTTTTTTTCTATTTTCAAAGGTAGGCCGATTCAATGGCGAGATTTCCAAAATTTAGAAATTAATTTTTATGAGTGTAGTCGGGACACCAACACAAGTACAGCGTTCGCACGCCCTTTAGCTGAGTGACGGGTATTAGATAGTCGGGACACCAACCCGACTATAGCGGTCGCAAAATCGAAAACGCTTCATACAAATTTTGATTTATATATGCTTTTTAAAACGTTTTATTTTCATTTTTAGTTTTCTCTGTGTAGAAACACACCCAATAAAGAAATGTGTTTTTACCCAAAAATTTGATCCTGTTCCAAAATAATGTTCCAAGCGAATAGCTAATGCCATATATGCGTCGTATAAAATCATATTAATTTTATTTTTGCTGAAATAACTGAAAATTCGTATTTAAATTACGAGTTCACAAATAAAATTAGCCCGATTTGAGCACTGAGCGTCATTCATATAGAATTTAGAATCTCCTCGCATTTCCACACAATCTTCAACAAAATCATTATCAGCTCCATTATTAGGTTCGCCCTCCATCCACTTTAAGAAGCTTGCTTTTTTCTCGGTTAAGTCAGATAAAAATTTTCCTTCATCTTCACTGTCGGTAATGTCCATCCAATAGTTTTTGTCGCTGTTCAGGTTCTCGGTAAGTGACTTCCACTCCGCTTCATTTTGAAGAGACACTAGACGTCCATTAATGTAAGAACAAATAGTCTTGGCAGAGACCCTGTCCACCTGAACGTCATTTTCGATAATATAATACTTTTCACCGATCTTCTTAAACTTTTTTCCAGTCTTGCCGAATGCCACTTTGTTTTCTAACAAGGGCAACTTTTCAACTAGGCCTTCGAATTTTGAAGTTAAGTTCCCTAGTTGATCCGCAAACTCTTTTTTTAAGCCATCCTCCAGTTTGTCGAGTCTGTCACTAATAATTTTTTCGTTATCAACATGCTCCTTTTTCTCCAGAGAAGAAGATGAATCCACAGGGTTAGACTGCGAAATTTCAAGTCTCCGCTGGATGGGCAAGTGGATTTCTAATCTTCGAATTCTGTCTTCAAAGGCATCGTTATCAGCAAATTGCCGGGCTTCCAGAGTCACTAGTCTTCGCTCTAGGTCACTGGAATACTGCTATAAAAACAACAAAATTACAACTTTTGTTCAGTTTGTTTGTTTGTAAACACATTAGCTTACCAATCCCCTTCCAAATGTAACTTCAACAAGAACTCCGAAAAGGATGAATATTAAAAATGCACGCATTTTGTACAAAAATGTTAAACCTTTACGTAGCAATTAAAAGTAGACACTGAACAATATTTGACTGATCCCCCTTATTTTATACGCATCGCATTTGTGTAATCAGTGCCTAATCAAGCTAGTTTGTATATATTGTTTTTTGTAGATTGTACAAGAGGTTCCGAATTCTAAAAATTGCCAAAAAAGAATTTTTTGCTTCGTCATCATTTCTAATCAGCACAATAATTGAAAAGGTTATCCAAAATATTTTATTTTTGTAAATGAAATCAGAAACTAAAAGATGCTTCATAGAATTAATATAAATTTCAAAAACTTGGGAATTATTTTAATTATATAAATATAATGATACACCCAGTTAAAAAATTAATTTAAAGTCCATGGACTTTAAATTAAGGAAAGATCGACTGAAAATGGCTAACTAAGGCTATACATGGACTTAAAAGTTTAAATGGACTAAAAATGGACCTAAGGCCATTTGGACTGTTACATGGACTTAAGTCCATTTTTAGTCTATTTCGACTTAAAATTTATATGGGATGAACATTTTTAAGTCCACGTATAGACTTGTTAGCCATTTTAAAGCAATTATTGCTTAAATCAAAGTCAATGGACTTAAGTTAAGGAAAATTTGTTTTCGGAGTGTATAGATGCCACAGTAGAAAACTGTATTTTTTAAATCGTAAGAATGTTTGTATAAAAGTCTGAAATCTTTAAAAATTTGCTGTATTTTTTCCATAAAAGTAAGTAAGTAAGTTTACATAAGTTCCAATTTATACCTGTAACAGAAAGAAGACTTCTGGGAAAGCTTTATACAAATAGCTTTAAAACTGATGAAATTTTTGTATAAATGGACGGGCAATATTAAAACTGTTTATGCATTTTAAAAACATTTTAAAATATCTGCTAAAAAGTAGTTTTTGTTCCGTTGCCTCTTATCAGCAATTCACAAAAATTCAATAGGTCTACCAAAATGTGTAGAATTTACGCATAAGAAACCCATACCAGTTCAAAAAATGCTTCTTAATTACATCATTTAAACTTTATATTCTTTGGAAAATCTTCTGATTATTAATTTAAATTACAAATCAGACTCTTCGCAAATAAAATAAGCCCGATTTGAGCACTGAGCGTCATTCATATAAAATTTAGAATCTCCTCGCAATTCCACACAATCTTCATAATAGGGTTTATCAGGCGCATTATTAGGTTCGCCCTCACGCCACTTTAAGAAACTTGCTTCCTTTTCGGTAAAGTCAGATATAAATTCATCTTCTTCTCCTTTGTCGTTAATGTCCACCCAATAGTTTTTGTCGCTGCTCAGATGCTCTGCAAGTGCCTTCCACTCCTTTTCATTTTGAAGAGTCACAAGATGTCCTTCCATCTCCGAACAAATATCCTTGGCATCGGACCAGTCCTTCTGAACGTCATTTTCAATATAGTAATATTTTTCACCAATCTTCTGAAATTTTTCGGATCGCTTGCTGCTGGAACTTTCCTTTTCTATCGGTGCTAACTTTCCAATTACTTCGTCGAATTTTAAAATTAGTTTACCCAGTTGCTCAGCCAACTCTTTTTTTAATCCATCCTCCAATTTGTCGAATTTCTCACCAATAATTTTTTCGTTATCAACATGCTCCGCTTGCTCCAGAGAAGGAGATGAATACACAGGGTACGATTGCGAGATTTCAATTCTCCGTTGGATGGGCAAGTGGATTTCCAATCTCTGAATTCTCTCTTCTAAGGCATCGTTATCAGCGAATTGCCGGGCTTCCAGATTCACGAGTCTTCTCTCGAGGTCATTGGAAGACTGCTATAAAAACGACAAAATTACCAAAATTTGGTCACCAAGCTGCACACATTAGCTTACCAATCCGCTTCCAAGGGTAACTTCAACAAGAACTCCGAAAAGGATGAATATTAAAAATTCACGCATTGTGTAAAAAATTGTTAGACCTTTACGTAGCAATTAAAAGTAGACACTGAACATTTTTTCACTGATCCCGCTATTTTATAGGCATTGCATTTGTGTAATCAATGCCTAATCCAGCTAGTTTGTATATAATGTTTATGTAGATTGTACATAAGAGGTTCCAAATTCTAAAAACTGCCAAAAATTATTTTTTTTTTGGCTGCCTTCGTCATCATTTCTAATCAGCACAATAATTCAAAAGGTTATCCAAAATGTTTTTCTAAATGAAATCAGGAACTAAAAGATGCTTCTAGGAATTAATATAAATTCCAAGAACGTGGGAATGATTTTAATTATATAAATATAATGGTATCGATGCCAAAGTAAAAAATCGTACTTTTTAAATCGTAAGAATGTTTGTCTGAAAATCTGAAATCTTTGATAAGTTGTTGTTGTTGTTTGAAAAAGAACAAAGCCATAATTAATTGTCTAAAAATTTTCCAATAAACGATTTGTGCTATATGGTATGAAATCCACTCGAATTTCGCCCCAAATTATAAATGTGTTTTATAGGATAATTTTCTCATAAGATTAATTAATTAAATTTGTAAATAGTGTGTTATTAAGTGCGCTGTGGTTCACTGAATTTTATAAAGCCTTAATGAATCTTCCTGCCGTTGACCAAAAGCGGATGCAGTGCATCAGCCATGTGCTGATTTCGACCATATTGTCAGTGCTTCTGACCGACCATCCATATGTTTGTAAATGCAAATTAAAATGGAATTTTTGTCATACGGCGAGCAATTAATATGCAATCGGCGATAAATAATAAACAATAATTAAGAACTTATTATTGGCAAACGGGGTGAGGTGGGGCAATGAGAGTTGGGTGTGAGAGATTTATGCAGGAACTAATTTTCAAGGTCATTAGAAGGCTCACCGAAATGGGGGAGCCACTGACACTGAACATCCCATTGTTTGGCTAATGTTTATTGATAATCGCAGACAATGGACTAGCCCACTGTCATTGTTGTTGCTATTGTTGCTCGAGCGTAACCCATAAATACTCAGGGGCAGTCGAAACAATTTGGAAGGGTGGCAAAGGGGGTTTTATAGGGGGGAGCAAGCGCGTACACCGCCTTAACTGAGACAATAAACAAGGCAAATCATCGCAATCGATAGGCTCTTTGATTTTGTGCTCCCACAGTCACTCTAACCCACTGCCACGCCCATTTCGGCGGGCGACAGCAACTATTTATTGTCCTTTTTGTGGGCGGGCATGCAGCAAATGGCATAACTTCCGCTTTCGCTTGACTGCTGCGAAATTCACGGAAATTATCAATAAATATGCGAGGCCCGACCCGTAAAATGAATGAAACTGGCAAATTTTTCGCCATATCTCACTGGCTGGCTGATGAATTTTATATGCGGCACGGCGCACACAATCCAATGCCCTGTGTCCAGTTTTGTGCTCCCCATAACGGAAGCATCATTATCATAAATTATCATTTTGTAGGAATTGCATCCGCTGCGAGCCAGAAAAACCGAGCAATAACAACAGAAATGACGACAATTTCAATTGCCGGCATCTCTTCCTCTATATCGTCCTCGCTTTTCCTGGTCCACGCCATCACCACCCCACTCATCGATTTGAATTGCCAAATTCTTTTCTAGCTTAATTTATGGCCGACCGAAAGTGACCATCATTTTTTTTATTTCACGAAAATCTGTTTCATGTTCAACAATTTAATGATGGTTTCAATTGATTCTGGGTGATCAGTGCGGCTTAAATGTTTAGAAATGGTTATCTTTATTGTAAAATAATGCCTTTACTTTCTCAGTAATATAATCCAACCTTGGAAACGTTGAAGAAAAATGTATAATTTTATGTTCTAATAATAAATTGAGAGAAAATCATCTACAGGTGTACAGATTTTCTCTGAGATTACGATTTAAGATCGACTCCCAAGTCACGTAGGCACAAAGAACCGGGAACGTGATTGGGGCTACTCATCCATAAATCCCAGATTCCATAATGAATCATACCTGTGCAGTAAGAAATTAACATCGTATCGCATTATGGATGCCATCACGTCATGCGTAGAGAAAAGTTGTCATCTTATAATTATTCGATACAGTCAGGAACTTAGTTATAAAGGAAATTGAGTAAGTAATCTAGCTATACACAAAGTCAACAAATATTTAAATACAAATGTTTAAAAACCAACCAAAACCAAGTGTTCAAAAAACTACAAATTTATTTTTCAAAGTCTTTTAGGATAATTATCAACATGAAAGTTGGTTTGATCCATAAACTTTATTTCCTCTTATGTTCTTCATCGTCTTCTTCTGCGTCATAGGTCATAGGAGTAGTCGTGGCAAAATAATAAGCGTTTTCTCGAATGTAAAAGAGTGAAACTCTACCGCTTACCAAGAAAAGCAAGTAGGCGATGTACAGCACGAGTGCGACGAGGAGAGCATCATCTCTGACCAGCAATTCAATATTGTTGTACGTGATCAACACGTGGGAGATGATTACAATAATCACACTACATATAAAGACACCAACAGCCACATCCTGCCAAAAATACCAGTGCTCAAGGATATCCATTATTTCAATGCAGAATGCCAAAACAAAACCCATCACTCCAACGACGGCCATTTTGAAGGGGTTCGCATACAGTCCGCTCCAGATTAGAAGGGCACAGATCAGCAGCACGATAACGAGGAATAGAAGGGCCATGGCCAAGACGATAATGGTGCAAATCAGGTTCCATTCCATTAGAAAACTGGCAGAACCAAGTGTCAGGAGTTCGTAGCAAACGGCGATCACGATGTAGTTCCAGGGCCTTGCGTACTTCAGCGGCTCAAACATGTGGATGATGGCAAGGAGCGCGAAGGACAGGAAGAAGCAGGCTACCGTGTACACCATGGCATCCCACGCAAAGAGGCACATTATCATCCATTGCGGAGTGGCGACCAACAGGCATATTGCCAGGATGAGCAGGGTGCACCCAACAAATCTGCTCGTACTCATAGTCGTGCCACTTTCGTCCGACATTGTGCGATTCTATAAAATCAGTTTCACCGGATAGTCCTAGCAACATCAATTGCCTTTGTCTTTCAACGACACTAAAAATTTTGGTCATATTTATAGAAAATATTAAAAAACCGTTTGAGATCAAACTCAAAACAACTAAGATGACTTTCAATAAGTTCCCAAACAGACGATATTATATTAATACTAATAAATAGTGCTTGTATACCTACATTTAGAAACTCTAGTAAAGCCGAATACGCGGCTCCTTTATAAGGGATGCTCAATCCAATCGTACTATCCAATTTGGCAGCCTCCCCAAGCAAATCTAATATATATGGCAGCCGCAAAAGTGCCGACTCTGCCACACCTCTTGAGGGCTTATTCTTCATCGTTTTTGGGCCATCAATTTGAGGCCCACTCATCCCCTTTTGGAGAAGAAAACAAAAAATGAAATCAGAGAGCCGAAGCCCGAGAAACGCTACATAAATGAAAAAAAAATGTCGCATAAGCCGACGCAGGACAAACTGCAAGGACACTTGAGGCTCAGCAGCGGCCGAAAGTCCTTTGAAGTTGGATAAAAACTCGAGTCCTGTGGGTGGGCCAGTTTGTCTCCAAGGAAATACAAAAATACAGAGCGCAGACGGGCGGAGTGGAGAGGAAAATCAATCTGGGACTGCCAATGGTAAGGATATGAGAGGCTCTATAATGCTATACAATAACAAATACCAAGAAGCGACCTCAGAGTCCAGGAAAAATATATGCTTACAGTTGCTGTCAATGTAATAGTTCCATAAAAATTATTTTGTAATATGAACATGCTTTCGAAGAAAGTGGGGCCGATTTGTTAGCTTATTAAATTCAGTTAAATAAATAAAAAAAAAAACAAAATGGTTTAGTGTTGATATTTTGAATTTTTTAATGAATTTATATTTAATTAATATTTAAAGTAATTATTACAAAAATCAAGAGTTTTAAAGATGATTTAAATTTAGCATAAACTTGCATTACTTGCTCCCTAACTGTGTACACATACATGAACAGCATAATGAAATAAAAATAAAAGGAAATGTTTGGCTGGGGAAATTGAATTGGAAATGTGCACACTGAAACACACACATTGAATTGAATGCTGGAAAAAACCAATCAAATAAGGGAGAGCCGCGCCAACTGGTCCTGGACTTCACCTGTCGCTGATTTCGTTCTTAATTTTAATTGAAATTTGTACAATATCTTTTTTTTCGCTCTTTGTTGTTGTTGCAGTGCTTCTTCTCGTATAATTACAAGCGATTAAAATCTGTGAAAATTTATTAAATTCCATAAATCAGCACTGGCACGACCCATCCCCCAGCTCTCGTCGGACATTCCCTTGACAATTATAAATTATGCGTTCGTTGCCAGGCGAAGTCAACTCCCTCGCCGAAAAGGACGAAATTGCTTAACCGCAAAATGTCACTTCACCCGTTTACCCTGCCCGCTTGACAATGACCGTTTTTTAACGTTTCTGATTATGTAATTATCTAGGTTTGGGTCTGCGCCCTGTCCCTCACAGGTTCATCCACCGTAATAAAAATATGCGGCAAACCCATATCGAGGGTTAAGATTCTACATATTACTTTGCATGACAAAGTTACTGGGGCAACCTGTTTTTATCGGTAAGCCGAGAAGACCACAAATCCGTTTGCCAATTAGTGGTTTTATGTCAACAGATATAATTGGTTTGCAGGACCTCATGGTATAGAAATAAATTAGATCATATAACATGATATAAGTATACCTAAAAATAGAAAGGTATACAACCAGCACTATAATTACAAAAATGAATTCTAGGGTTACAATAATATGCAAATCCTGTATTAAGATGAAAGTATGTATTATTATTAGATGAAAGTACTTTAATCTAATATTTATCTATTTAAATATCATTCTTTCAATTACAACAAACATCTATTAAACTTTTTCCCATTCATTTCCAACAATTATTGCTAAACATTCATCACGACAAATTACAATGTCCGGCAATTGTGACCCACAAAAAAATAAACACGAAAAACAAATGATACAATAAAAAAAACAGGAAAAATAAAAAAAAGAAAAACGAACCGCAGACAGCAGTTAAATGATGCTACTTAAGCGATAAGAACCGAAAAAACGTCCTCCAAAATCAGCACAACCCCAAGAGTGTTATTTGTTTTGTGCGTTGTCCAAAACAATTTCCTTCCTTAATCACATGCTAACAGCGAGGGGGAAAAGCAGCCAAAAATGCATTTATCTGACCAGGGGACGAACAAATCAGTAAGAGAAAGTCGCTGAAAAAAAGACATATATATCCCGAAAAAACACTGCAAAAAATGTTTTAGCCATTTAAGTCTCTCTTCTATTTTTTAGGTCTTCGGTCCCGTGGTTTATTGTAAGATTGTTAACAGACCCAATTCTTGTTTTAATTTGATATTAATATTAATTCATTTTATTTTCTCTCCATTTTATCAAAATCCAAAGGATGGGAAATTTATTCTCCGTTATGAAATAAAATTCTTTCCTAATTTTTTTTTGGAAATTCCAATATTTTTTCTCACTCTGTAAATATATGGAAAAACCAGGGACAACGGTTCTAATTGTAAAAGATAAAAAAGCAAGGCAGCAAACTTTGGGCTGCTCGACATTTCTCGTTAGACTCTGGCCACAAAAAAAAAGCGGTGAAGATAAATGACAGGAAACTTTTAGGGATGGGGACCATGGATTTTGGATTGGACTAAAGAATGGGAATATGGGAACGAGTCCTACAGAGTGCTTGTGTATGTGTGTCTGTGAAGACATTTGCCGGCAACTGTAGCTTACTTTCGAGTGTCTTTGGGCTTTCAGGACATTCTATGTGTGCCAACAGCTTGTCGAGTGGTTCGCCTTCGCCCCGCCCCTCCCACTTTTTAGGGGTTTGGGCTTACGTTTTTTTTCGGTATTTGTCCTATCGATGTCGCCATAAGTTGCGCAAACCCCTTCAGATGTCGGCCGCCTTGTCCGCCTGCCACAATTTCCCCGATTCCGCATCGCTCTCTGCTTGACCAAGTGCAAAATGTCAAGTTTCCCCGGTTTGTTCCACCGCTTTGATGTGCGTCTGGATCGGATCTGAATGGTCGGGGTGTATGTAAATACGTGTAGCTTATCGGCTGCCGTGTAGTGTGTTTTAATCGAAAACCCCATCCTAACCTAGGGCAAGTAATCTCACTTAAAGCTGATTATTCATCGTCATGGGAGCTGGCTTATCTGCGATCTGCTCGCTGCCTGGAAATTAATTGAACTGTTTTGATTTTGTCGTCATATGTCTGAATTTCCTTTGACAATGAGTGTATTGATTGGAAAACCGGCTTTTTAAGGCTCTTTTTATTTTCCAATCAAATATAAGAAAAAGTGAAAAAAGGAATTCAAGTTTTCATTTTATGTGTTTTTTATAATTTATTTAATTATCACCAAATATTATTTTTTCACAATTATTAGTATTATCAGTACTTATACCACATTCCATTTACTGAAGATCTAAATGCATAAATCATCCAAAACCGAGCAACTGAGCATTTTCTCATGGCAAATTATCGAAGATTAACGATAATCAAATTTATTGCTGGCATATGCAACCCTCATTGACAAGGAATTTCCAAGCAAACATCATTAGTCCGGGGCATGCCAACCAACAAATGGATTTCTCTGTAGGGGTATCTTGTATTTAGCCTTCTAGGGTCACTGGGGTAATCTGTCATTTGCGTTCTTAAATCTAGCTGCAATTTTAACAATACTATAATTGTTCGAAAATAGTCAAGAATGCGCCATTTCCACGACAAATGCGGGCAAAATAAAAGGAAAAATCATTTAATTCCTCCATAAAATTCATGAATAAATCCGAACTAATTAATAGCATTGAAATTATCACTGAACTTGACCTTCATTTGAGTATGCGGGTCATTTACCTATTGCATGGTATGGAAATCTATAAAATATATTTCGGCTTCGATTTTCACATCCTTATTGTTCACAATTGGAATTCCTTGAGTTGGGGTGCTTAGGAGCGGAACAGGGAAAAAGGAAACTTTTATTGGATTTTATTTTTATTGTCCTACATAAATTTATTTATTATATGGCATTTCTTGCCTTTTTTCTGGTCACATGGATATTTGACAGTTATTGCGGGTACCGGAAACGCCCACTTTTTCTGGTTGCTTTTTATGGAATGCAATTTTTTTCGACGGGTTGTTTGTTTGTTTTACTTGTAAGTGTGGGTTGAGGTTTAGGGTTTAATGTAAAATACTTTATAGTGCAGAAAACGTGTTTAACAAAATTGAGAAATATTAAATTTATTTTTTAATTTAAAAGAAAACTGCTTTTCTAAAGTAGATACTTTAAATTACAAGGTATTTTTTGTTTAAAGCTATTTTAAAAAATTAAAATTTAATGAAATACATAATTTGACTTCAAAGAATATTAATATTATACAAACGTGGGTGGCTAATGAATATTTTCGTTGCAGGACTTCTGGTTGATGAAGCTCGTCGGCTGCTCCACGGGTCAGGGATATTAAATCGTGTACAACACCCTCGTAAACAGTTTTCACTACCACTCCTCGACCTTCTGCTGCCCGGAGCCCAAGTAGTCGTAAAAAATCAGGGAGCGCACGTGTCCATATTTTTCGTCCTTTTATATGATTTTTGGCCGCTTGCATGTCCAGGACCGAGATGCGTGAATAATTTTGTTGCAGGACCTTTGGTCACGCTGTGAATCAATCTTGCGGGCACAGGAAGTAAACAACAGCTCCCCCAGAATCAGTGAATATGGGAATAAATGAATGCAATTTTCGAATATTTTACGAGCATGCTCGCTTGGACATTTTAAGCTTGAAAAATTCTTAAAGCCTCCCCAAGTCGGCACAAAATGGAGCAACTCCGTTGTCTGGGGTTGTTTTGGGGGCGAAGGGCAAACTATTAGCGTTTAGTGCGCATGTTTAAGGACGAAATCCCCGCCAACAGGGAGCAGAGCAAACAGCAACACTTCAAAGTGGTTGCAACCCTGAGTAACTTTTTCTCCCTTTTTTTTTGGTTTTTGTTTCTGTTCCTGCGGCGCGTCCTTTTTTGCGCCATTTGTATTGGCATTTG